TAATGATGGTGTCTTCAGGGCTCTCTGAGCATTTTCTGAGAGGGAGGGAGTGACAAGAAACCACAAGACTTCAGCAAGGCCCAAGAAGGACAAGGCCTCACCCTGTAAACTAACAACTTCTAGCTGTAATGTCTGTAATATTACAGATGTTCTGAGCAAGATCAGGTCACCAGGCTATTTCTTGGAGGCCTGCCAAGTCTTGTTTTGAACTGTGGTTAGGCTGTTTCCATCACAGCTAGCCATTGTAAGAACAACAGAACATTAAGAATTTTTGCCTGAGTTTTCTTGTTTTCTTTTCCCCTACCCATCCTATCTTCCTTAAAATCTGAAAAAACAGAACATACAAGTGTGAGAGCAGATACTATCTCATTTTTATTAATCTAGAAATGATTCTGGGATCGCTTTATCTTGCTTTAACTTTGGAATCTAAGATGTAACAATGAAAAATCTGAAATTAAACCACAATACCAATTTTTGACATAAAATCAGGCTTGGTAAATTGTATCCTTCCAAGAGATGGAAACGCAGATTGAAATTTAGTCACTTATATCACTCAGTTGGCTTTGAGATTAATCAGAACGTGTCAAAATTTCTCTGGCATTTTCTACTAGCCTTAATAATCAGCATATTTTATCTTAGCACACATGATCACGTTTTCTTCACACTGATATTATATAGTTGTATTCAGATGCTTCACCAAATTATAGTTTTATATAATAAAAGCAACCTACAGCAAATGTTCAGCTTACCTGCTACCTCCTCTCCTCTACTCCTCCAGCAAAGCCATGAAGCAATCAGAAATGCTGCTGGTGGGTTTTTTTAATTAGCTACAGGTAAGTGTTACATCTGAACCCTAAAATTAAACCCTAAATTAAAATTAATCATTGTTAGTAGAACAAGTCAACTATTTAAGCCAGAGTTTGAAACTGACTGGTTTGTATTAACCACACTCTGTCAAGTTCAGGTGACATAGTGTACTGGGATTAATCTACAATGAAAATGTGTGTGTTTCCAAATTCCTCCTCATAACTGTGATGGGCTGAAAGGAACAGAAGAGTAAACTATGATTTACTATTATATTTGAACATGTCTGTAAGTCATAGAAATATTTAAGTTGAATGTAATTGTTTTAGAATATACTGTAACTGTAATCTATCTATTTGCATTTTGGAATCTATCTCATTCAGAAAAGTTATATGCACTTGTTACCTACAACTAAATATAAACAAGTTGGGGTGGCCCCGCAGCTCAAGATAGTTTTTACAAAGACTGAAGAAACTGTCTGATTAGGTTACATACACTTTTGGCTACAGAAGGATAGGAAAATATGAATCAAATATAATCAACAGCAACATACATACCCGTCTTTCAATACTTTTAAATACAGAAAGTTTGGATTTAGCATGCCAATATTTAATACTTAACAGTGTGCATTTCAATAGCAATGCTTCCATAGAATAGCAAATAAAAAGTGACAATTAAGGAGGCATCAAACTGGGGACATTTGTACTGTACTGGGGAAGGGAAAAATACATTTTCTTACCACATCATTCTTTGTGAACTTAGAAGTAATACAATTCTTCAGAAAATCCAATTAATCTAGTGACTGAAGGTTAAGCTAAATGTTCAGATTGTTTTTAACAGTTAATAGAATAACAAAAAATGCCTTCTATAAAAAAGAGTGGCACCAGTGGAAACAGTTTTAACATATTATGACCCCACAAACAGAATTTTCCAAAGAGCTTTCCAAGATCTCAGCCACCTTCAAATTGTACATCTTCTACATAGCCTAAATTTAAAATGTTACATAGTATGCCCTCTCAGGTCACCTCACTTCCTTACATTTCCTGTTGCCACCTTTTCTCTCTTTCACATGCACTTTTCCTTGCATCATTTTACCTAAAGCATGACAACTGAGTTAAGTTCCCATATGCGGCTAGCTCTTCCAACAGTTCCAGGAGAATGGCAACCAGCACTTTTGAGAAAGACTTAGCTTTGCAGGATTGATTGTATGCATTACCCTCATTCCAAGTGGCACTAAATGCATACCAGTTTAGGCAGCTTCTTTACATAAAGCCCCATAAAAGTAATATTATTGTCTAATTAGTTTTAATTAAAGTGGATCCAGACATTAATGGCTCTCAGCTGTGATTAAACTACATCCAATGGGTCGACTTTAAGTAGGATAAATAATCCAACACATGATATCCAATCTTTAACCATTTTTGAAATATTACTATTGAATCTACCCTATTCCTCACAACATCTGAGTTTTCAATTATTTATAGCACTAAACCTACTTTTTTCAATTATTTTTGTTCTGCTTCTATCCAAATCATCACTTTAAATGTTTACCTATCCTAGAGTGGTTCAAAATTCCAAGTTAAATTAGTCAGCCTACATCATTTATCTTTGTGTTAACAACTGGCTTAAAAACTAGAAAGTTTGCTACTGAAAAAGAAATCCTCCTGTTCACACCCAGATGCAGAACAAGCAAATATATATTAAGTCACAACTGGCCAATAAAAATAAATGGTGCAGTTCCTTTAAGCTTCTTATTTAAAACCAACTGCCACTAAGATACTGTAAGCAAGCTCCTAAGGGTGCAATCCTATGCATGTTTTTATGTTGAAACATGCACAGGACTGCATCTTAAGAAGTCTTATAAAATGTGAAAGACAAACTCTCAAGGCTCCATTAATAAAAATATTTCTAAAATACTTAAATGCCACAACTATGTACTTGAATTCTTGCAAGTTCTTGCACTTCACATTAACTCCTGATGAATTTTATAAAGTCCATAGACCACATTCTTTGGCTGCTTAATATTTGGGACTCAACATGCTTTTTAAAAATGACATGCAGCAGTATTCTGCTTCAGTGGAACAGATGTTGTTTGGAAAAGAAAACTGTTAACATGACTGAAAAGGTATTTTTCCATTTTATTCATTTCCTGTAACTTGCCCTTAAGAGTTTCACAAGAAAAAATATGCTAGGTTAAAGAGTGCCCATGTCAAGGCCTTGCAGGTATTTCATTCAGTTTTTATAGTAAACAATCTCTCTCACACAGACAGAAAATATCTACCAATGTGTCATTAGAATATTAATAAAGATTTAAATGTTTGGTTTTCTTTATCGTCAGCAGTGTCGTTATAAAAGCAGGACAAGTGTATTGTAAAGGTCTAATTCCATAAACAGAGCTAGCTTCAGTATGGACCTTGGGAATTGCTGTTTTGCACTGAGAGAGAAATAACTCTATTCCTTTGTAACCTTTATTTCTTCCTTGGTAGCCAAAATAAAACTTAAACAGAGCTTGCCTTTTTAAAGTGCAATCTTTTCACATTTGCCAAGAATAGCCAATTTTTTTGCAGCAGTGAAATTGAAATATAAAGTTGTCTGGCAAGCATGAGAAACTGTTTCCATGGTAGTCTTCCCAACAGCTCCTTCCAAAACAGGTATTATGTATTGATCTTACAGAACATGGATAAATATTTCCACCCCAAACCTACTATTAGTCTCTCACAACTTTAAACAAAAACAAAAGCAACAATGTATCCCCTCTCTCTGCTTCACAGATGAGACAGACATCCCTTCCATTAGGGTTGCAAGGATGAAGTCAGAGCTTGAAACCTTGTACTCCAAACCCCAAAACCAGCATTTTCCCTAACTTCCTTCCTATTCCTGCACCTCAGGATGGTTGTGTCAGCTTGACAAATGCCCAGCCATGTCTCTCATACACACAGTTCAAGAATGCAAGATATTCAAGGTTTTGCTCAACAATTAAAATCCATCCAATTTCAACTCCTATTCTTTCAACATTTGTATGTATGACACTCTCAACACCCAAAGATTCCACATCTTAACAGCAAAATAAAGTGAAAGTGAGGATTCCAAACCACTTACTCCCACACTTTACCCTTTCAAGGCATACCTAATAAATAACCTTTTCAACCCTCACAGCTTAACCGGGGGGGGGGGGGGGCATAGAGAGAAAGAATATTTCCAGGACAGCATGTGAAGGAATTAACAGCCCATGAGAGGGAACATGATTCTGTTAACAAGAATGCTGCCTACATCCTTCCTTCCTCTCCCCCCACCCTAATGTCTCTTGCCCTCAAGATCATCTGAGGGAGGTTTTTCTTTTACGCAGACTTATTCCCCTAAAGTCTCCACAATCCACCACCACGTTAAAAAATCAAGCTCCACCAGGCCAGGAAGTGGGGGGAGGGGGGCGCAAGAGAAAAAACAGAGAGAGCTTGGAAAATAGAGCGTCTTTTTTATATCTTAATGTGTTTGTAAGCTGCCTTCCGCAGGAAATTTGAAAAAAAAAAAAAAAAGCTAGTTCTCCCAACCCCCAATAAATTCAATGGGAAAAAGAAGCCAGAGGGTGTAGGAGAGAGCAAAAAAGAAGCACAGTCCTTAAAGGAAGGCATCACATCCCACTTCAGCCATTGTTTTCCCTTCTTGCAACCTAAACTCTGCTAACCCAAAAGTGACACCCCCTCGAGATCCTGGCACCGATGCGCACCACTTCACACGATTGTACTGCATTCACACGCAAGACAGATCCACACGACATGTGGGTCCGTCCAGTCCGTCCTGACAGCCCCAGAGACATACACGTGAATCCCCATGCACACGTATACACGTGCATCTTGACTCTGTCATACAGCCATCCCCACCGCTTGTTTGTGTTTTTCACCTCCTCGATCCAAGATGTCAACCAAAAGGCTGAGCTTAGAAGCTGGGAACAAGAGGAGGAGAAGGGGGCACGACCTTCCCCGTCGGTTTCTCTTAGGTCACCCGCCCCACCCCCCACCCCACTTTCTTAACTCCACCAGCTTCCCGACGTGGGGGGAAGACTTAGAAAAGGAGGGGAGGGGAAGGCGATCCGCTGGCCCCCGCCGAAGCGCTTTACCATCGCCGGCTTCTCCCCTTCACCCCCATTTTTGCGACCACAGAAGCCCCCCAACAAGCCCTCGGCCCCTCTCCCTACTCACCCGTCAGCGCCTTTCTCACTCCCCTCCTCCGCAGCTGCCGCCGCCTCCCCAGCCGAGGCTCCTCCAGAGACGCTGACACCAGCGCACGGATATCCACGGGGCGCTATTTTTAGGCGACGCGACCAAGGCGCAGCCGGGACTACTTCCACTGCCCCTCCCCCTTCCAGTCTCTTCAGGCGGGCAGCTTTCTGAGTTTCCTCACTCTCGTCTTCTTCCGCCTCGGTGTCCCGCCGACACCGCTCCTTCCCGGGAGCAGTCAACGAGTGTACCGAGGGACGGAATACTTGAGAGCTCAGCAAGCCTAGATAGGCGTTCTTCTGTTTACTTCTTTTTCTCTGGAAGAGCGTCAGCTCCTGGGACTATATTTTATTTAACAGTAGGGGAGCGGCTCGGCCTTTTACGTTCTTCACTCCGTCAGACACCGATGCCACGAGTGGATAGGCTGGCGGGCGGGAGCTAGGGCGACCAAGATCCAACCAAAAGAGGAGGGAGCGATGAACCAATCAGCGAAATGTTAGTGGGAGGATACATAAAGTTCTGTTTGACAGGTCACCAGGCCCAATTAGAGCGCGGTACAGCGGTTGGCAAACAACCAATCGGAATGGGAGAGAGCTGTGGCGCTGTTCCGAGCAGTCCTTGACGAGGTCTTAAGAGCGTGGAAAGGGCCATGCGCATGCGTACAAAGGGCGCTCATGTGTTCTGTTTTTTCTCTGGCGAGCGAGTGACGCACGACAGGGAAGAAAGCGCATGCGCACTAAGAATGGTCCGTCGCTTCAGCCCCTTGGTGAGGTTCAGTCGGGGCTAGAGCAGCTTTATCGCTGAACTTTCCTGGGTGCGGTTCGTTTGGGAGACTTCTCATTCAGTGACCCTAAAGCACCCTTCATAATACCCACCAGATAGTCTTCACACGATCGCCAGTTACCCACCTCCCCGAAGTACGGAGGGGGCGAGCCACGTTGTGGCAGAAGAAATGCGATTGGTCGGACACTGGCCGAGGGAGCAGCCGGGTGCGTGACACCAGCCAATCACACGGCTCCTCTCATAGGGGCAAGTGCTTTCCTCACGACGTCAAGCCTGGACCAGAACCACCCCCCTCTCCTCCGAGCTTTTTCTCCTGATTTTTAAAACGACTTTAATGTAGGGAGAATTTTGTCACAACTCTTGACAGTCTTTATTTATTTAGGTAAAATTTATTACCCCACATTTTCCAGCAAAGCAGAATGTTCACAGAGGCTTATTTTTTTTTAAATACACAAATGCAACACTTGAAGCAACAACAAAGTAACTAGAAAACCATCCATATATCAGGTCTCCGAGGAGCGATATGGTCACCTCAACAATATTTTGCCTGTTTACGCTTCTGGCGGCTGCACAACTTGTGGCCCTCCCCATGATTTTTGTCTTGAAACTCCCATGATGCCTCACCACAGGCTGTGCTGTCTATTAATTTTTTGCTAATTGTATTTCTGTAATGTCCAATACACGAAGCTTTCCGGGTGGCTTACAGCTGTGCATAAAATACATAGACTATACAACAAAAATATACAATATAAAACGCAGGTAGCGGTATTTTATAGTGTATGTTTTGTATATTGCATCATAAAAATTGCAGTAGAAAATTTTAAAACCAAATTTTACAAGCTACAATAGCAAGCGCCAATTAAACCACAAGACCTGTCAAGCAGCTGAAATAATGTCCTGATATGCTATTAAAACTAAAACTACTTAAGAGCCTCATCATAGAGGACAGTCTTAACCTGGTACCAAAAAGTTGGTACAGTTGGCACCAGGCAAGCCTCAGTGAGGAGCTTGTTCTACAGCTGAGTGGGGGCCACTACTGAAAAGGCCCTTCTTGTTGCTATGAAGCAATGCTTTTTATTGCCTTCCTGAGAGCCAAACCACATGCGATGTAAAGCCATCATTTTCATGTGATACAGTGCGTGTATGTGTTCGTGATTGTTACCAACAAAAGGAATATAAGGTAGGAGCTGAACGCTCCACTACCAGCACCTTTCTTCCCCATGGATTGCTTGCTTAGTCCAATCACTTTTCTCTGTGCCAACTGAATAAAAGTGGGGAGAATCAAAGGCTGATCAAAGGGAAGGGAACTTCCCCACTCCCACACACAGAAAAGAAACACGGCTCCCACCATCAGTCTTACTTGGCCCAGAGAATGCAAAAATAAGGATGTGAAAAGAACCTGGCAGTTTTATTATGTATGTATGTATGTATGTATGTATTTATTTATTAAAATAATTTCTACCCCATCCTTTACCAAGGTCTCAGGACAGCAGTACAATAATAAAAGCAGCATTAATATATAACAAAATAAAATCTATATTAAAACCACATTAGCTCTTAAAATATTGGAAAAATAAAAAGGTCCTGGCCTGGCACCGAAATTAATAAAGTGTGGGTGCCAAGCACACTTCCCTGGGAAGCATGCTCCAGAGCCAGGGCTCCACCACAGAGAAGGCCCTTCTCTGGGTAGCCACTCTTCTAATCTTCTTCAAAGAGGGCTCCAGAAGAATGACCCAGATCTTAGTGGGCAGGTAGGTATATATGGAAGGAGATGCTCCTTCAGCTTGCAATAGTTACCTTGATGCACAGGCTTGCTTTAGCATTTAGCCCTCAGAACTAGAACTCAGAACCATCCTCAAGCACAAAAAGGAAAGATGGAAGGAGGAGAAAATCAAGGACTACAGAAAGGGATATAACAACATGAAGTTTTGCCACTTGAAATTTTAGCTAATGTGTCTTCCTTGCCAATGACTAGCTTAAAAATAGGTTTTATTTTGTTTTTAAACATCATTTGGGGTTCCTATGCATTTACCAGCCACCAAGCAAGAAGAACAGTAAAGAGGTGTCATTTCCCACTGTCTCACTTCATAGCCATGCTCCAAAAAGTTGCACTGGTTGGCTAGAACATAAAAGTGCTGCAGGATCAGACCAAGGAACCCTGCAGGCCCTTGCAGGAGCAAGAGCCCCTTCCCAGCCACGCTCTCTGCAACTGGATGGCTTTATGATTATCCTTGCTCGCCATGCTCTTTCCCTGACTCCTTCCTGCACCACAGAAGCCCTGTTCAGGCATTTGCCTGAAAATGCAAGGGCTAAAACTAGGAAGAGGGATGGGCATATATGCAAGCTCCTTCTGCTGCCTCCCTGCTTGCAGTATAAGTCTCTCAAGAGGGTTTCCTAAATGCATTCAGATGAGCACACTTAGCAACCAGTATGTAACTGGCAACTCTAAGGTACAGCTCCCAGTCGTGCTTGGGTTTCCAAGCACATTCAATCTAATGTATTAACAGCACAATTCTATGCAAATTTAGACCCTGTGACTCCCAGCATGCTTCAGTCAGCATGGGCATGCACAGAATTATAGACCTCTTTCTGTCCAAACAATGCGCCCTTAGAAACTATCTTCAGACCTTTGCACTGAATGAGCAAAGTTCTGAACCGGACAACATGGTTGGTCATGTGTGCACACAAGCCCCTCCTGTGTATTAACCCTCCCATGTTTTAAATATGTAAATAGGGCTTCATATGAGAGCAACATAGGAGCGCCAGAGAGGGTCAAACCGTCAGAATGGCCAGAATGTTATAAATGTCCAGGCTTTCTGAAATTCGGCACAGAGTATTTGCTGTTTGAATGTGATAAGCCATTTCACCTCCCTGCACAGCTTGTCACTCTTAGTGCATGCTATTCACTTTAATCCAAATGAAAAAACTCAAAGTTGAAGGTTAGAGTGCAACTAAATGTCTGTTGTCTTGGGATAAAAGCTTATCTGAGTTTCGATAGAAAAGGGCTACATGCTGGCCTTTGTTGTAGGCCTTTCCTTCAGTCTAAACTTGCTAAGATTATTCCGTTAATTGCAGAACTTCAGTTTTGCTCCAATTTGTACAGGAGGCATGCTCAGGCTGAAAAACCAAAAGAAAGAATGACTACATAAAGATTAAGTTGTGCATATAGTATGTGAGATGGTTGAATGTGTTTATGGCTCGCATGGTGCAGAAGTTAAAATGCCTTAGGTTCTAATTTCCATGCTTTTTGGTGCATGAGTAAATGTGTAAGCATCTTAATTCTTTTCTTAAATCAATGATTTTTAGATCCTGGAATAATTTGTCTCTTAGTCAAAACTTTGCTAATTATTTTCATGTTCTTCCCATTCCTCCACTGGGGAGGAGGCAGGAAGGAAAAGGAAACACCAAGAAGGTACGAGGAAGAAAGAAGGAGAGAAAGGGGGAAATTCTAAAACGTGCAAACATGTACAGTGAATGACCAACAATTTTAACAGGGTCAATCATATAGGCAAATTTTGCAAAAGATAAAGTACATGGAGTTGTCAATTACAGAATGTGTGCAACATTGCTGATATGGATAAAGTCATTACACATAAATAACTTAAAATTATTGTTGAGCATCATGCAAACTCTGGCCATGGTAGCAAGCCAAGAAGTTCTCCATGAAATACCCAACCCTTCACTATCATTTTGTTTAAAATATAAGTCACTTTTTAAACTTTTACTAATTAATCATGAAACTAGACATCAATGACTAAAATAGTTGCTAAATTTCTCATGATTTTGATTAGCTGTTTTATGATTTTGCCTATTAGGTATTAGCAATACAAAAACTCTTGTTTGGAAGAATCAGCTGGTGAAGAGGGAATTGTCACGCTTCCCCACACATGTCATTTCAATTGCTTCAAACTCTTTTCTGACACAGAGCAGATTCAAATGTACACAGCTCATGTGTCATATTTCAGTTGCCTCCAGGATATATATGCAAATATTATGCAAACAAGCCATAGCATTCCTTCATGAAGGTGAATAAATATGAATCTCAAATTTTATCCTTATAAAAGAAGCTGTATGTATATTCTGGAAATCCAGTTTATATCCTGGGCCTCCTGAAGACTAGAGTTATGGATAAGGGAGTCCACAGTTATCCTGACCTTGCATAGGAATGGCAGTTCCACTTCAAGTTGTTTTACCCTTTGCCACTTAGCTTCCTCATTGCTTGGATGACAACAGAGCTCCCAGCAATGTTCAGTCAGGGTATTTCCCATTCCACTCAAACTGGAAGAAGCGCTGGGTTTTTCTGAGCCATACTCGGTGTAGAAAAAACCTAATCTTAACTAATGTTTCAAATGGAGTGTGTTGCCACTCCCTGTCTTAGCATTGTGTAACAGATGTAACACAGGGACCCTCATCTGATTTGGACCCATGGGTACATTCAGGAATTGAGAAACTATGGTGAGGATCTCCACAAAATGGCTGCCCTGGC